TCCTCCTCTGACCGAAAGCTCGTTTTTCTTCCCTGGACCCGCTTCTTCCCCTCTTGCCACAACACACTACATATATATAAAAAAAGCCTTAACTTTAGCTACCATTCCCACACATAACAGTAAAATATATAAATCTATAATTAATGTAAATGATTTAAATAATCTATGTGTGGACGACCTTTCGGTCGAGGAGGAGAAAAATTCGTATACGTTCCACGGTACAAATGCGCGGCGCTTAATCTCAGCGTATTACTTTTTATTATTAATTGGGTCACAAAATTTGAAAAATTCTTCATCAATGGATTTTTCTTTGATTAAAATGAATGCATTTTAAAATTTTGTAAAACAATGTCTGAGAGTGTAAAAATAAATTCACTGTAAGTATATCCTTATGACAAAGTAGAGATGAGCCAGGTGGATCGGCATGGGGAGTAAATTGACAAAACGGCATATTTTTTCATATTAATGCACCGTTTTCGTTCGTGACATTGATATGGAGAAATATGCGGTTCTGTTAACTTACTTCTCATTCTGACACACCTTTTTCTCTTCTAGTCTTTACCTGCTGCCTCGATAAGTTTGATGTCGGTGACAACTGCCCGTAATGGGATGTGTAGAATGATCCGCTCATCAGCTTTTCGAGGTAACGATGCCAGTGGAAATGCACTGTCTTGCAGGGAGATTTGTATTCAGCATCCTCAAAAACCCATGCATGGATTTTTTCAGATTTTTTACCCTTTTCCAACTATTTGACCTTCAAATGACCTTTAAATGAGCCAACCTTGAAAAACCGACCCCGGATTCGGATTCAGTGACCCCAAAAACATAAAGTCCACTAGGTCCGGTGGATTTGAAATTTTTTTTTTTTTTTTGTAGGGCTGTGTTATTTCTTAAATTAAATACTTAGAATATACACTTTTCATTCGTCCAGAGACTCGATCCTAGATCCCCAAATTAATTTCATCATCACGCCCCCACAGGCAACGTGCGCGCAGAGAAGTACGCAGTAACGGCAACGCCGCTGCATACAAGGTTAGCCATCTGAGCAGGCAAAAACGAGCCTCGCGGTGTCTCGCGTAGGAAACGAGTGTGTCGGCTGTGCGCATCCGCACAAGCACTCGCGAGTTTGCTCGAAAAGTGGGTAATGCGTTGCAATATATTCCTTTGCTTATCTTGTTGTGTTATGTTTGAGCGTAGTAATCAGCTCAGCGGCCATAGGCAAAACGCGGCGAGTCACTGTCTACCTATGAGAGGCACCTTATCGCCTTTCAGTATCAAGCATTCAAGTATTTTCGTCTCGTTATTGAATTTCACGCGCAAATTTTTAAATTGACCTCGCTGTTCCATCGCGCTATTTCCGTAAGAGGTTAAATGTATTTCTACTTTACTTATTGTTACGTTTGGAAAATGTTTCTTTACAAATTTTTCGGACATTACGCTGTAGTAGGTGCCTGAGTCAAATTCCATAGTTATCATTTTATCGTTGATATAATATAGTCTACGTCGATAAATATAGTTTACGTCGAAATATACAGGTTCCGAGCTTATTGAATGGCAATCATTCCGAGGTTTCGCTGTGCAGATGTTGTGAAAGTCGATATAATTCGTACTTCTTACCGAGCCGCATTTGCTTTTTGAGTTGCCTGGTTCAGAATCCGACGCGCTGCTATTATGCTCTAAGAATTTATTACATAAGTTCTTTTTCTTTATGCACTCGCGCTCCAGATGTCCTTTTTTGTGACCGAAATCGCACTCCCTATCTCTGTATTTACAATCGTTGGTCGTGTGACCTTTCTTACAGCAACAAAAACATTGGCGCTCCGCTGACTGTTGCCTGTCTTCATGTGGTCTCTGCTTGGCGCGTCTCTTCCACTCTTTGCGCCGTTCGTCCAAGGCGAAATTCTCCTGCCTGTACGTTAGGGCGGAACGAAAAAACACTTTTGACGCCGATCGCTTTGTAATAGTATTTTATCGAAAGTTTAAGATAAAAAAAGAGAAAAGCCGCGAGCTGGGCGCGAACGAATGATGTCTTCAGGTGGCGCATGAAGCCTGAAGTTTGAAATTCGTAAAAACAATATCTTTATGCTTCAGTATGAAATCGTTACCAAATTTCTCTGCACTGGATTGGCCGATTGGGCTGAAAGTTTCAGGGCTTGTTTTACATGTTAAAAGAAGTTTCTCTGTAAAATTTTAGCCCTCTAGGTGCCTTAGAAGCAAAAATATAGTCATAGGAAGGTTGAAAAATTACGTTACATTAATTTTTTTTTGTTCTTTTTCCATCTTCACACAGCTGTACGTTGCGTAATTTTGCTGCTATTAAAACGAACGAGCAACCAATTTCTTCGTCTTTTAAAGGCCTTTTCAACCTTATAAATTTGTATAGTGTTTTCTAAATTTTTACAGAACTTACAGTATAAAACGTCCAACATTTTGTGTCGCGCTCGAAACTACATTTGTTATTTTTTTCTGTTTCTTAAAAGTTACACATTCTAGACAAACTTGAACCCCAATGATATTTATATGGTCTTAAAGAGCATAAAATTACCTCTAATTTGGTGTATGTAAAAAGTTTCTAAGTCCTCTAGAACCGAAGATACAGCTGTTTGAAGTTTGACCAAAAATTAAAGTACTGCATCTGTGAATCTATCATAGGCCAGATATGGTATTATCATCACACAATCGAATCTTACATTTTCAGTAAATCTTCAAACAGCTGTATCTTCGGTTCTAGAGGACTTAGAAACTTTTTACATACACCAAATTAGTGGTAATTTTATGCTCTTTAAGACCATATAACTATCATTGGGGTTCAAGTTTGTCTAGAATGTGTAACTTTTAAGAAACAGAAAAAAAACAACAAATGTAGTTTCGAGCGTGACACAAAATGTTAGACGTTTTATACTGTAACTTCAGTAAAAATTTAGAAAACACTATACAAATGTATATGGTTGAAAAGGCCTTTAAAAGACGAAGAAATTGGTTGCTCGTTTGTTTTAATAGCAGCAAAATTACGCAACGTACAGCTGTGTGAAGATGGAAAAAGAACAAAAAAAAATTAATATAACGTAATTTTTCAACCTTCCTATGACTATATCTTTGCTTCTAGGGCACCTAGAGGGCTAAAATTTTACAGAGAAACTTCTTTTAACATGTAAAACAAGCCCTGAAACATTTAGCCCAATCGGCCAATCCAGTGCAGAAAAATTTGGTAACGATTTCATACTGAAGCAGAAAGATATTGTTTTTACGAATTTCAAACTTCAGGCTTCATGCGCCACCTGAAGACATCATTTGTTCGCGCCCAGCTCGCGGCTTTTCTCTTTTTTTATCTCAAACTTTCGATAAAATACTATTACAAAGCGATCGGCGTCAAAAGTGTTTTTTCTTACCGCCCTACTGTACGTATGGCTGGTAGATGATTGTGCTGCACCTGCTGCATTCTTGGTTGCTTTTTCTCTCGCCAAAGCTTCTTCTAGGGCTTTTTCGGACGTAATAGTTTTGTCCTTGAACAGTTCGAACCTCGTAGAGTCGTCTCTGGTGCTGCATGCAAACTGATCTCTCATTGCCTTCGTTTTCATTGTTTTATCATATCAATCCTTATATTTTTAACAGGTGCAGCTATGATTTTGTTGAAAAACCATACTGGCACCAGTTGATAATACTTTTTTTTCCCCTGCGATAGCCTGAAATTAGCGTCAAAGTTGTGTATTTTAGGTTAGAGTGGGAATAACATACATTGTTAAATTGAAGAAATTTTCGAAGAAAACTAAAAAAATCGTTTTGACACGATCAAAATATACGGACATGGGGGCATTTGGAAAATGACAAAATTAAGATGACTATTTAAATGCGACAATTTTGTTGTAAAGTGTATTTGTAGGTCATAGACATCATATGGCTTGTAACGAATATATTATTCGTTATGCTCTCTCCCGCCTCTTGGGCAAAAGCCTATACTAATATTATTTATTATTTGTACTTGATAGTATTTATTGATTGATATTTAATGGTTGCTAATATAATAATTGTCGCTTGCCGTACGATGGACCGCGGTGTAACGAGCGAACGCTGGCAGCAGAGATGGAGAAAGAGAGTATCTTCAAGGCTCGTAGCTTTATGACGTAGGCATACGAATTAATTATGCCTCGAGATAGTTGTTTATTTGGAAAGTTGTTATTATTGATTTAAACTCGTTTGCTCATATAATACTTTGTGCCTTGCGAGCCCAGCGGTTCCTAGTTGAAGGACGTGGGCCTGTAGCCGCGGCGCTCAAATGTGGCTGACCGCGCGTTCTTTCCCTTCTCACCAATCGAGTAAAAATTGAAAAAGCCTTTTTTTTGGAGTCATTTCTTATGTAAAATCCCAAGATCTTTTGATCTAGCTACTCAGAAAGTCAATCGGAGTTGAACTTTGAAAGTCACAACGTGTTTTGTCTTCAAGTCCATTTTTTGAGGTTATATAGGCATATTTTTGCACTTTCAACTTCATCAGTAGAAAGCTAAAGTAAAAACCTATCGAAAACATTTGTTGGTTTATTTTTTTGAATTTTATTCAACCCTTTACGAGCGAGTTGAAAACAGCGATCCGGCCATTTTCGCGGCCCGCGCGTGGCACTGGGACATTATTGGCGTCTTTACCCATTTGTAATAGGGGCCGATGGCCAAAAAAAAATGTTCAAGTCGCAAGCTAGACGAATCGAAGCAGCCAGCGAGTCTAAAGATTGCCATTTTGAGAGCGATTTTGCTAAATTTTCGAAGCACGTTTTTAAACTTCAAGAGCCTATATTGACACCGGTTTCCGTCACTTTTTGGACTTCTTGATCCCAGCTTTTTTTATCTAAAACCTTGATTTTTCAGCTCAGCCATGAGCCCAGGTGATACAAAATTCGGTTGAAAAAACGCCCCGGTTTAATATACATTCTTTAAGAATAATTTAAATTTAATCGTAAACACTTATTTTTTTCTACGTCTTGAATATTAATTTAATAAAAAAACTTTCAGTATCAGTTTGATGGAAACAGTAATCTTGTTTATACGATTATCAGAAAAAGACAAGTTTTCCATAGCTTAGTGAATTTACCAGTTGATTGTAACTTATTAATTAAGTCAGTAGAAAAAACTTCTTTTCGTGAAGAATCCAGTCCAAAATGTTTCGATGAATTATTAGAAACTTCAATGGAAGGTGCGCGCCCTGCAGCACCAGCAGAGCCCGGCACTCTCAAAACATCATTACTGAAAATACCAGATGTTGGCATTATGACAGAAAAAAAATCTGCCCACTGCATAAACAATTCCAAAGATAAAATATTGAATGAAGCTACAAATGAGTTGAATATAAATACTCATCCATCTTCGCATGTAAGTAAAAAAAACTATATTTTCTTTTCAATTATGTGTGAATGTTATTTACGACCTCAAAAAAATTAATAACGCAATGTTGAAAGCATTTCAAGAACCATTCAAGTATCAATAAACTCAATTTTAATTTTTCTGTTGATCTAGCGAGCAAACATTTTTACACTTCGCAAAATTGTTTTCAAAATACTTTCATTTGAAGCTATGGCACAAACTTCTTATTTTTGTTGAAAAATAATTGTATGTCTCTAGAACTTAAGGGCTAACAGGGGGTTTAATTATTTATCATTTTTAAATTACAGTACTAGGCTATAAAAGTGAAAAAAAAATGTTTTTTTTCAATAACACAAATTATAACCCTTTTCAATAGCCTATTTGAAAGTATTTTGTCAAGTTAGATACTTAGAAACAATTGAGTACAATAATAATGAGGGTAATGGTCCTCAACGCAAGCTATACGCATATCTAAGCTACCTGTCGAAGAAATCCAAGATCAAGCATTTAGCTAAAGGAGCCTATGTAGTTTCATTTGGTCCGCTAGCCATAAGATGAACTGTAGCTACTCCTGTGTACAATTTTCTAGAATTTAGTATTCATTTTTTATCATTTTCCATAAATTAATTTCACTTTGTTATATGTACAAGTAGCTACAGTTCATCTTATGGCTAGCTTTTGGTTGCGACCACGGCCAATTGGCTATGGAACAAAATGAAACTACATAGGTTCCTTTAGCTGAATGCTTGATCTTGGATTTCTACGACAGGTAGCTTAGATATGCGTATAGCTTTGCGTTGAGGACTAATACCCTCATTATTATTGTACTCAATTGTTTCTAAGTATCTAACTTGACAAAATATTTTCAAATAGGCTATTGAAAAGGGTTATCATTTGTGTTATTGAAAAAAAACATTTTTTTTCACTTTTATAGCCTAGTACTGTAATTTAAAAATGATAAATAATTAAGCCCCCTGTTAGCCCTTAACAATATACATCAATTTATTCCGATGTAGTTCTGTGATTATAAGCATGTGTTCAACAATATAAAATGTGAAAAAAATATGCAGGATCGGCCTACTGCTCCGAAAACAGCTTATTTTTAATACTTCAGAACTTTCACACTGTGCACAAAAAAGTTTTTAAGGTAGAACCCTAAAGTACGAACCAAATTTAAAAAAAAATGCTCGTTATGAACTGAGTTATTTTGAATTTTGATTTTAACTTTTATTTCAATTTCATTGTTCAATAAGTGCTCGAAAGCACATATAAATTTTCTCATTTTATGATTCTTAACACATTTTTTGGCATACAAATTTTTTAATAACGTTTATCAAAGTTCTACGAATCTCAATCTATAAAGGATGTTTTTCTGAAAAATTTGCTTCAAACCAGCGGTCTATATCATAAAAACTGTTTGAAATACCGACGAGAGCAAATTTTTTGTTTTAAATCTCTTTTCCATGACCAATGGATATCGAGAATTAAAGAACTTTTCGAAAAATTGAATCGACGGTCATTGCCACAGCCGCGTGTCATCACTCTCATAAAATAAGCCCACGAAGCAACGAGGTCTTCCACGCAAGCTTAGATTGACCGACGAGAGCAAATTTTTTGTTTTAAATCTTTTTTCCATCACCCAAGGATATCAAGAATTGAAAAACCTTTTGAAAATTCAAATCGACGGTTTTTGCACCAGCCTCGTATCATTGATCGTTTTAAATATGCCCATCGCAGCTACGAATTGGTTTACTCTTGCTTGAGTCGACTTTTAAGCCTTTATTCATTTAATATTTTCATAAGTTTGTTTTATTATTACTGTTATTTTGTGTACTTACTGAATTTTTTTTCGACGGCTTTTACCCTGCATGAAATGGCTGAAAGCACGAATCCAGTACTTAATGTTATCACTGATGAATGTTTTTCGTTCAGAAAAAAAAATTTAACATTTATAGAGGTGGATAATTTTTGAATCAATATTCGATGGGACATGCAGGCCTTTTTATCAATTTTAATTAACTCCATTTTATTATTTCATAATTCCAAAGCCAAAAAGTATGTGGCAGGGAAGTTGATCATTGTTGGCCGGCGTTGCTAAGGACGTTGTGCGCTGCACGCTGTAGCGTCAAAATTAACTTTTCAAGACACTGAAAATAAATTATTTTGGAGAAACGATCATAGTTTTCGTTGATGTTTTTTGCGCAAACACCGTCGAAAAAAATTAGCTTTCTAAAAAAATTATCGTTATCGAAATTTTTTTTTTACACATGTAACTTTGATCGATTATTTATTAAAAAATTTGCTTCTTATCGCTTATATCAGTGTAATTTCATAAACTTCATACGATTCCCTTTAATTTGATGTACATAACATATAGTCAATAGTGTCTCTAACTATTTTTAATTTCATCGTGTTAAGTGTCCACTTTATCGTGGACATAAAATATAGAGTCACCCACCCAGTGATTGAAAGCATATCAGAGAATGAATGCAATTTTTAAAATAAAAATTATTAATTGATAACGAAATTATTCATGAACGACGAATTTTTTATGCTATTCTTGGGTATTATTGCTAACTATTCGAATGGTCATCAGGTCCAGAATCAACTTCAACATATCTTGTTGTACGTAATTTTCGTAAAATGCTATCCATATTCGGTATTGGCCTCGCACTTACTTTCGTCACAGCGTTTAATTTACGATAATCAATACAAAATTTATGTTAGCCATTCGCTTTCTTCACCATTACGACTGGGCTCGCCCAGCTGCTTTTCGAAGGCTTGGCGATGCCTTGTTTTATCATGTCGTCTAGTTGCTCATACATGATATCTTCGAGCTTCTTCGACACTGGATAGCATCTTTGTTTTATAGGCCGTTGGCACGTTACTTCAATTTCATGCTCTATCAGATCCGTACAGCCAATCAGCGTGCTCTCGTCGTTGATCGGTAGGCATCGAGCCAGAATTTCTTCTAATTTTCTTTCTTCATTAGGCGTCGGGCCTTCGTAACCAATGGCCGTCAGCCCCGCTGTACTCGTTGAATTATTGCAATCAAACTCAACTTTACAGTCTCTTATTTTAATAAATTATAATTCATGCGTTCGCGGGTTAACCAATTGCATAGAACAAAACAGGCCAGTCAGCACCAAGCACGAAATCTTAGTCCAACGAGTTGGCCATGAACACTACTAGTTCTCTCGTCTATCTACCTTTTATTGGCTACCTTGATTCGTATTTTGGCTTGTGCTGTCAGTCTAATAAATTGGCCGTCAGCTCCTGAGATAGATGTCCCAGAGTATGGCACAACTTCGATGCCCGCGTGTGTCGCCACTTGTAGGCCAACAGGCCCAAAACATGTACGCGATGCTCCGCTATCGATGAGGGCTCTTATTTTAAATTCTCCAACTTCGACCACTGTCCACCAGCGCGGATGAGATGACAATGGTGCTCTATGGTCTAAATCAATTGCCGGGAGAGAGCATAACGAATAATACATTCGTTACAGTGTATATATCTGTATGATAAACACTACTTGATCTTTCATCGAAATTTTGTTAATTTTTAAATGCTTCTATATTGGCCTATTTTCATTGTGCAGGACTAAATTTTTTCGATTTCTTGGAAATTTTGTCTTCTTTAAATCCATATGTAATATGAATGGGTTCGAGTCAATATCGAGTTAGCAGTAGTATTTGAGCACAAAACAAAATTTCACATACACTATCGCAAAGTACTCTTTTCAACGAGTAAATAAAAAAAAACAGCTCTCTACGATAATTTTTACGTCCTGTAGGTCGTTTTGAAGGTAGCATTTAAAGTGCATAAAATTTCTCGTTTTTTTTAAAGATTCTAAAAAATACCCAAAAAATCGAGTCGATTACAGCTAAACGAGAAATTTTACGCACTTTAAATGCTACCTTCAAAACGACCTACAGGACGTAAAAATTATCGTAGAGAGCTCTTTTTTTTTAATTACTCGTTGAAAAGAGTACTTTGCGATAGTGTATGTGAAATTTTATGTTGTGCTCAAATACATTAATAGAAATTTAAAGAGTTCATTCATGTAATTTTATATTGTGTAGAGTATTATTGTTCACTAAAGTAAATAAAAAATGAGTTTTCAACAATCATTGAATAGTATTGAGCTCTGAAATTATCGTTATTTAAATTCGGTGATCATAACTTAGTACAGTCACAAATTACTTTTGATATTATGTTCATGTTATGCACAATCTCTGTTGGCAATTTTTTTAGACGGAAAAATTATATTGCATCACTCATTCATACTTGGGTTATAATGGAATAAAATGCATTAAATATGAAAAAATAAATCATTAAACAATTACAGATTAAAAAAATCAATGATCCACCGAAGCAATCTATTTTATCAATTACAAATGATGAATGGGTACCAACAATAGATTGGATAAATCAATGGAAAAGTAAATTACCACTCCAAACAATCATGCGTTTGCTACAAGTTCTCGTTCCACAAGTAGAAAAAATTTGTATAGATAAGTAAGTTAATATCTACCTAACTCAAGGATAAGCTCATAAAATGTAAAATTATAATTATTTTATTTTGCAGAAGTCTCACTGATGAAGGAGAAATTCTTAAATTTCTACAACATGGAACATTAGTGGGATTACTACCTGTACCCCACCCAATTCTTATTCGTAGATATCAAGCTAACACTGGCACCTCTGCATGGTTTAGAACATATATGTGGGGTGTGATCTACTTAAGAAACATCGAACCACCCATATGGTATGATACGGAAGTAAAATTGTTTGAAATTCAAAGAGTCTAACTATCATTTCAAACATATATTGAAATCAAATTAGGCTATTCTTATATTAATAAAATTCAAAATTATCATTGAACTACTTGTGATGGTTTTCTTTCTTTGATCTTCTATAATTTAGAAAAGTCAGTTTTACCTTACATTTCACAATTTTGAAACTTATTTCGTCGTAAAAAGTTTGAGCAGTTTAAGGTAGCTTTTCGTAAAAATCATCCAATTGTAATTAATTTTTATAGTTTTGGGACCTTACAACTACTACCAAAATTCATGAAGTAATGAGCATATATAACTAAAAACGAACTATCAAAATTCTCCTTATTGTGGTAATTTCATTGTGTCCAAAATTGTTAAATAGTGATTGATAAGACGTCGTATAAATAAAAAGTTAAACATATTCAAATTGTCTAAAGAAAAAATCCAATAACTTTCAGGCTATATGTGAAACCTTCAATACTTGAGTCCCAGTTTTGTTTTATAATTGAATTTTCAAGGGATAAAAATTATAAAAAATTTTTTGTCCCTTGTAATGTTTGATTTAATTTCAAACGTATACACATTTGCAACATGCTCGAATTGGGATATAAAAGTATTACAACTCCACAAAGTATAATTAAATCCTTACATTGGTGAATATAGAACCACGTACAAGCAAAATCATTCATAGTCAGGTGGTGCTAACGTGGCATATTGTACTGATCGCAACTTTTCTAGCTCATTGACAATACCATTGACTTCGAAAAATTTTAATAACATATTAATCGATACATTTTTTTCTGTTCTTTCCAAAGTTAAGCTTTAAGCTCGAAGGAAATTGTGATCAGGGCAACATGCCGCGTGAGCCTACATAAACACTGACCAGTCCAGATTCTGCTTGTCGCCAACCAGAGCTATATCTAGCTAGAAAACATGAAAAAGGCCTAAAAGTGCGACCAGAGTCGACCGTGTCAGCTGACGGACACACGGGGTTTCCGTCGAAAAGGTCTTTGCTTCAGCCTTCACAGTTACGCAGTACAGTTACGCAGTGGACTGGTAGACTATCTCTTAATACGACATTCCTTCTTCGCTAAATGTAAAAGATCGGTGGTCTTAAACAACCTCTAGCTGGGACAACTCCGACCGAGTTTAAGCGATGAACCGCTAGCCTCTCGGCCTCTAACGGTGGATTTTTTAATGCTAGTGACTTATCTACCTTACCTATGGTGAAAACGTATTCATGAGAAATTTCCGAGCTAACTGGAGATCCAAACTTGGCTGATTTGTGTTCTAAGTAGAAAATTTGAACTCTGAAGCAAGTTTCAAGAGAGAGTGATTTAAAGGACAAAATGGGCTGCCTCTTATCTTTTGATAAAGACCTGTCGCTTGTGGGTAATAATACGCGGTGTCAGAGCCACCTACACGGGAGATGGGAAATCTAGGAGGAAAAACGGTTAAGAAAAGAGTAAGTCAAATGATTGCATAGTGAATTTATGTTCTTTGTTAGGTCTCGAAGTCACTAACCAAACCAACAATTAATAACAACTCGTAGAGTTATAAAGTCTCTGGTAATCTGAGAGACCGTAAGATTTCTGGAAGTCTGTGAGAAGCACGCGTTGCAAGGGTCTTGGTGCCTCTGGAAGATCCAAGACTGCTTTGGAGGTTCGCAAGATGTACTCAGCGGAAGCGTTCGCGAGCCAATGACCGCGGCGGCCGAGTGTGCCTGCTTATACAGGGTGGGGAATAAATATGGAAACCCCTGGAAATCTCGCAGAATAAGTTGGGAAAAAAAATCAAAAACCTCATATCCGACGAATATTTTCACGAGGAATCCAATGGTGACCTTGAATTTGACCTTGAACATGACCTTCAAGCTCCAGTGATCCAAAAATCGATTTTTCAAATGTAACCCCCATTTTTTATTTTAGATTTGAAAAGAGCACAAAATTTTACGTCAAAAAGTATGTTTTGTTTTTTTTTTCAAGGTCATTTTAAGGGCGTTACAGGCGCAAATAAAACCCCAATTTAACCTAAAATTATGTTCAAATAAGGGCTTTTTTTCTAATTGTACTGCCTCCAAAAGGACCTTAAAAAAAATAATAAGATACATATTTTCACGTAAAATTTTCCACTCTTTTCAATGGTGACCTTCAATTTGACCTTGAACATAACCTATACTCTACGGTGAACCAAAAATTGATTATTCGCACGGTGACCCCCATTTTTTATAACAGATTTGAAAAGAGCACAAAATTTCACGTCAAAATGCATGTTTTGTTTTTTTGTTAAGGTCATTTAGGAGGCGGTACAATGAGAAAAAAAGCCCTTACTTGAACTTAGTTTTAGGTTAAATTGGGGTTTTATTTTCGTCTGTAACGCCCTTAAAATGACATTGAAAAAAAAAACAAAACATACATTTTGACGTGAAATTTTGTGCTTTTTTCAAATCTGCAATAAAAAATGGGGGTTACGTTTGAAAAATCGATTTTTGGGTCACTGGAGCTTGAAGGTCATGTTCAAGGTCAAATTCAAGGTCACCATTGGAATCTTCGTGAAAAAATACGTCAGATATGAGGTTTTTGATTTTTTTTCCCAACTTATTCTGCGAGATTTCCAGGGGTTTCCATATTTATTACCCACACTGTATACCCAGACGGTGATGGCGTGGAACAGCAGCAACAGCGTTTGAGGCTGCGACTGAGGAATGACGCTGGCTTTGTTGTGTGTGTCTACAGAAGTCTCTTCTTGAACGTTATAATCCTGGGCCTGACTTTCTTCAGCATCTTGATCGATCTCTTCAATATTGTAGCTAGCACTTAACTTGTTATAAATAGGATCAATAATAGGTCAAAATCCTACTTAAGGGGACACACCTGTGTTGATGCCTATAAATGAAAAACATGAAAATGAAGGATTACGATAAAAAATTTTTGTTTCTGATGTTAAAATATGTTTTTATAGGTCCTTTTACAACAAAAAATATGTCTCTAGTTCCTCTTATTATTAAAAATCATCCTTTATTCATGTATATTGACTTGTGATTTCTAAGTAATTGACCGCATGATTTTGAATTTTTCACCAATCCTGATCCTCGGGGTCTCAAAAGTTTTTTAATAATATTCTTTTCTACTTAAGTGTTACAGAATTTAAACAAAAGGCTTGGAAAACTTTTTTCATACTAACAACAATTGCTGCAGAAAATATACGCGATTGAGGCGGTTTGTGTGCGACCGATTTTTCGCTGCACGCAGGTCCGAGGCTCGCTCCATCGCTTCGCCTGGTGATGATCTCGGAGGGCTGTTGCGACTCAGACGCTCGCACTTGCGCTCGAACTTGCGCTCGCACCAGCATGAAGATGCTCAATCTCTCAGTTTTTATCTCGCATAAAAAGCATTAAAACATACTCAGCAAAAATAACTAATATTTTCGAAAGGAAATTTTCTCCGCTTTCGATTGAGGTTATTTGAAAAAATCCTAAAAATATGTTTTTCAGATATTTGTGTTTTCAAGTTCATGCAAAGTTTTTCTATGAAGACGGAAAATTTCGGAAATTCTGACTACACCATCAGAAAGCTCAGAAAATTTCCTTTCGAAACTATTAGTTAGTTACTTTTTGCTGAGTATATTTTAATGCATTATATGAGTCATTTCACGTCAAGTCTCCTAGCGCGGCGCCCGCGCGGCATTATTAATCGAAATTGCTGAATTTGTAACTCGCCAGAAAAGCACCTAAATGCACCCAGAAAAAATATGTGCCATATTATTTTGATAGGAAATTTTCTCAGCTTTCCGATGATGAGGTCAGATTTTTCAAAATTTTCCATTTTCCCCGGAAAAACTTGACCTAAACTTTCAAACTCAAATTTCTCAAAAACGGCATTTTTAAGATTTTTTTAAATAGTGCCGATCGAAAGCTGAGGAAATTTCCTATCGATATGCAAATTTTCAGAGAGTACTTTTGATAATTACTCAATGAAATACAGCGACGAACGTGTAAAAACGTGACATTTCGGCCCGTGCGGCAGCTGTTCCCGCGCGGCGCAAAATCTCACGTTTTTACACGTTCGTCGCTGTATTTCATTGAGTAATTATCAAAAGTACTCTCTGAAAACTTGCATATCGATAGGAAATTTCCTCAGCTTTCGATTGGCACTATTTAAAAAAATCTTAAAAATGCCGTTTTTGAGATATTTGAGTTTGAAAGTTTATGTCAAGTTTTTCCGGGGAAAATGGAAAATTTTGGAAAATCTGACCTCATCATCGGAAAGCTGAGGAAATTTCCTATCAAAATCATATGGCACATATTTTTTCTGGGTGCATTTAGGTGCTTTTCTGGCGAGTTACAAATTGAGCAATTTCGATTAATAATGCCGCGCGGGCGCCGCGCTAGGAGACTTGACGTGAAATGACTCATATGCGAGATAGAAACTGAGGGATTGAGCGTCTTTATGCCGTCGCGAACGCAAATGCAAGCGTCCGAGTCGTAGCAGACCCCTGGGATTATCAGCGAGCGAAGCGATGGGTCTAGCCTCGGACCTGCGTACGGCGAAAAATCGGTCGCAGACAAACCACCTTTATCGAGTCTATTTTCTCTCCATGCATAAGCTTGTACGATTGCTGCAGATACACGGTACCGATTCGAACTTGGTCAATTTGCAGGGCTTGAATCCACTAGACCTTTTTTTATCTAAAACCTTTACTATGACGAGCAGGCGGAAAAACTATTATCCGTCTCTAGAGACGACGTCTATCTTCATAGTAACTTATTGGTGTGCACAACTAATGGGGCCACACACCACTGCACTTGGCCTCTGCGCCACGGCAACAACAAGAGGCACTTGAATTGTCGTTGAGACGAGGCGTGATCCAAATATTTGCCAATGCAACGGGATCGACTACTCAGCGCATGATGTGTTAAAGGCACGAGGGTTATAACGAGTGTGCAAAGAAATGTTTCAAAATCACCGAAGAGAAACATCAACTGGTGCAA